AGGAAACACATATACGAGTATGTTTTGACATGCATTTCAAACTAAGAAATATTCTAGATGAATAATAAGATGCCCAGACTGAGCAATCTAGGGCTACTCAATCTGGCATCACAGCAAAGCTTCTACTAATGGCAAGGCAGGACCAGAACTCAAGTGTACTATTTCTGTTACTTACAAGACATAGCTTACTTTTAATGCAACTTTAACCACTGGGACTAATAAAGTCTTGCCAAATAGGGGACGGGGAACATTATCGAGTGCCTCTTAGGAGGCACGGACTCTGCCAGACAATGGGTTCCCAGTGATGCAAAATATACACATGATCCCTATCTTCAAGGAACTCAAAACCTAGTTTAGGGGGATTAAAAAAATCAGTTGTCATCAAGTTGGCTCTGACTCACGGCGACCCCATGTGTGTCAGAGTAGAATTGTGCCCCATAAAGTTTTCAATAGCTGATTTTTCAGAAGTAAATACCAGGCTGTTCTTCTTAGGTGCCTGTGGGTGTATTCAAACCTTTTGGTTAGTAGCTGAGTGCTTAACCATTTGCACCACCCAAGGACTCCTCTGTTGGGGGGTAGGGGTGGGGAAATGACAGAAATAAACCAATAATTACTATGCATGTTGGGGCAAAGGCACTGGGCAGGTGGGTGTAAAGAAGTGATCACCTGAGTTTATTAAATCCCTGTAACTGAGTTTAAATTTTCTAAAAGCTCTGGCAAATTTACTCAGCCAAATGTGTACCATCCGACCACTCCTGATAACTTCCTTCTTTGGGGTGTATAAACTAAAAATCACCACTGAACTCAGCCTTTGCAATAACAGCACACCATCCAACAATGACCAACATGTCCAGCAGTGACCAACACAAGGAGAAAATGGAGAATCAAGAAGTCATCTGTGTTCTTTGGAAGGCTGGCAGGCAGGGGGTTACCTGCAGCTGAGCTCCTGGCCAAAATACAAAATAGTCATACCCCCTCTGCTCTTGGAATGTTGAGTGTACTAAACGTGCCGTATTACACCTCCTGTTATGGATTGAATTGTGTCCCCCAAAATAATGTGCTGCAATCCTAACCCCTATACCTGTGCATGTAATCCTATTTGTAAACAAAGTTTTCTTTGTTGCGTTAATGAGGCCATATCAGTGCAGGGTATGTCCGAAATCTAGTCTCTTCTGAGTTATAAAAAGAGCAGATCAGACACAGAAGCAAGCACCAAAAGGGGAGACAGACACTATCTGATGATGATGGAGGCAGATGAGTCTACAAGCCCAGAAACTCCAAGGACTGAGGAGAACTCGAAGTTGAAATAGACAAAGAAAGGCCTCCCATTAGAGCTACACTCTGAATTTGGGTTTCTAGCCTCCTGAACTGTAAGAAAAGAAAATGCTGCTCTGTAAAGCCACCTACTTGTATGTGTTACAGCAGCACTAGGAAACTAAGACATCCCCTCAAGATTTTCCCCAATGTTCATCAAGACACAAGGATGCCAGAAAGTCAAAAGGCTGGACTTCCAATAAACAAGTCAGTTACTCAGAGCCCTGGTAATGCAGTGGTTAAGTGCTTGGCTGCTAACCGAAAAGTCAGTGGTTAGAACCCACCAGCTGCTCGGCAGGAGAAAGATGTGGCTGTCTGCTTCCATAAAGATTTACAGCCTTGGAAACCCTATGGGGCAGTTCTACTCTGTCCTATAGGGTCACTATGAGTTAAAATCCACTCCACGGCAATGGGTTTGGTTTGGTTTGAGAGTAGTGGTTTGACTTTGCAGAGCTGAAAAGGGATAGACTATGGCCAACAGCAGCAGTAGGACAGACAAACCGTGGCTGTGTGATGAATTTACGTGCCATGAGCACAAACATGAAGCAAGAAGAAATACTCTAAGGTTAAAGCCAAGCTCAGATAACATGACGAGGCAACTGGGAAGAGTTAGCTATTAGTTGATCATTCACTGCAAAGGGTCGCCATGTGATTAGGACAAAACCCACTGCCGCTTAGTTGATTGCAACTCACAGCGACCCTACAGGACAGAGTAGAACTGCCCCATAGGGTTTCCAAGGAGCAGCTGGTGGATTCGAACTGCCAACCTTTTGGTTAACAGCCAAGCTCTTAACCACTGCACCACTAGGGCTCCATGATAAGAACAGGCAATTTCTAAACCAGAACAGGCATTTGGGAAAGCAGCAATTGTAATTAATCAAAAGACGTCACTAATCATACAAAAGGCATTATTCATCATTTGATTTTTGAGCTATACCTTTATATACATCTTATTTCCTATCAAATGCTAAGCTTCTCAACATTAGTAACACTTGTGTTTGAGTATGCCATAGGCTGGCTGAAGAATGGCTATCAGTAAGCACCTACTGAGCAATCAAAGCCACACCTTTTTCACTAATGAAGTATAATATTTTTAAATCCTCACATAAAATGTTCTTTTATAGTGGTGACACTGGTGGTATCAAAAAACAATGATTCACTTTTCTCATTCCTTCTGAAACAGGAATCAGGCCTATTTGTCTTTGTGCTAAACTAACTTTTTCCAGTCCCCAAAATGTTAATAGTTAATTTTCTAACCTCATTGTATGTGAAAAGCTCTTCATTCTTAAGGGAAGTGAGTCACCATTAGCAGAGACCATTAAGGCAAGAGAAGGCTTGCAGTCTCAGAGGGGCCAGTCAATCATTAGCTAAGAGCCCCCAAACCGGTAACAATTTCACTCTTAGGAGGGACTTAGTAATCAGATCTGACCAGGACACCTAGCTTATGGTGAATTCGTACGTTTTAATATAATTACATCATACTCAACAGTCAATAAGGACAACTCTTTTTTCCAGTGGCTCAATATGAATTGTCTTAAATTGCAACAATGTCCCAATCACACTTCCAAACAGTGCAAAAGCCATTTTTTAATATATTAAAGCTAGGACTGCCATAACCTCTCTTAAGTAAACTCTTCACAATAAAAAATTTTCATCCCACGCTGCCTAATTTTTATTTATTGTCCAAACTAAAGTGGAGCTCTGATACCATAAAGGTAAAAAGTCACGCACTCTTCAACACGTAATGAAAACAAGGGTCTTGTTACAAATCTGGCTACAAGGTTTCTCTGATGACAGTAATTTCAAAGCAGATTGGTCTAATAAATCAAAGGACTAATTTGTCAGGAGATAGAATTTCTGGGTTCTGAGACCTAAACAGTTTCCCAGACTGTTTGACTTTTTTTAAAAAAAGACTCTTTAATAAAGGCCCTGTGCCTTGTTCATCTTTGTATGGATCACAGCAACCAGCACAGTGCCTTGCAAATACTAGGAATGCAATCAAATATTTGCTGAACACACTACCTAACAACCAACATTAAAGGCTTCACAAAGCGAGGCCAGGGAAAACAAAAGAACATGCAAACATATTTCTAGAATGCTTTTATCCCATGATTTAACAACACAAATCGGAAAACCATTTCCAGAAACTTGCTTCTTTTTAAAAATGCACACTTGAACAGTATTCTACATTTGCATACTGTTAATGGAAAATGCAAGTAAAGCTGGTATTATTTTTACACTTAGTTCCTTCTTTGACAGAGATTTACTACAAGTACTGTCACTCCACTATGCACACCATATCGTATGTCAATGCTATGAAATGAAAAAGAAGATACAGTATCTGCTCAAAACTTAGGTGCAATGGGTTTCTAGCCCAAATGCAAATTATTCGACCATTAAAACATTAAAATAATTACATTGCTAATGAAGCTAAATAGCAACAAATTAGATTTTTTTGGGGGGGAGCGCTGACTGGATTTAGGGACAAAGGGGTTCTTGTCCCTGCTCAGCCATTAATTTACTATCTGACCTTATCTAATTAGTCAGCCTCTCTGGGTCTCAACTTCCTTGTTTCCATAGTATTTTTAAGGTCTCTTCTAACTACATGCTAAGACTAAGTCACGAAAAAAAGTCACATTTAACTTGATAGCTTTAAATATCTGAGTCTGAATTTCTATTAAAGGCAATGTATTAAAATGTCAGATGAACTGAAGTCCATTACGAGTGGAGAATTAAAGCAAGTATTGCTTACAGATTCAAATTTCGCCTAGACAGCAGCTGCTGCTGAGAGAATAGTCTATCTTTAACAGTAGAAAATTACACTTCTTTACAAACGGAGACAAGTAGTAAGGGTGATTTTCATGATCTCAAAAATGCAGATACGCAGCCTTTCTTTTCTTTTTTCTCCTTTTTTTCATATTTATTTTGCTTGGATGGAGGAAAGCAGAAGGGCTCGCTAGGCTTGGGAAGCAGAAAGATGAGTATGGAAGTTATTGTACAAACCCAGACAGGCCCCTCTCAATTGATGTACCGTATTAGACGGTCGGTCCATTCTTCTAAGAAACGGCACAACCCAAATGAAATGAGGTTTCCTGTGGCTGGGATGGGAAAAAGCCTGGACGAGCGAGGAATGCCATATAACAATAGCAACCTGAAGTCTGAAGACTGATACTCAAGATAGGATTCAGAACACTCTGGAAAGGGGCAGAAAAATAGCAATCTGTGACTGAGACCAGTTCAGTTACACTGTGGTTTTTTTTTCAGTGAAACTATAGCTTTAATAAAACATGTTTTGAAAGTACCTTCTGATACCAAACAGCACTAGCATAGCACTTTATCATATACATAGCAAATTTAATATCATTTAATCCTCAAAAAATCACCATGAAGTATTTTCAAACCCATTTAACAGACGAAAAAACAATGTGAGAGGCATTAGGGGACTTGCCCAATAGCAGTTAGTAAGTGTCGAAGCATTCCTTTTAAACCCAATCTGACCTCAAGTCTTTCAGTCTTTACTTTTCAAAGTGGTACCCTGATACCAGTTTTCAGCCCATACTATTTCCTGTTTTGTCTGATTTAAGACATTTTATTTTTCAAACCTCCCCTCCCTCCCCCCGCCCCAGGTCTGATCTTCCTCTGGGTTATCAAAGCATTCTGTACACTATTCTCCCAGACACACTTACTGGGTCTTCTAATTGTTGGTGTCCTTGTCTCCCTCGCTAGACCGAATTCTTCAATGGTAGAGACTGTGTCTTACTCATCTTTCTAGATGGAAGCCACCACACAGGGATCAGTGGACACTCCAGCTGCACTCTATCCCAATGCCCTCTGGCTACCACCAAGTACACTCCACAGAATGGGTGTGGAGATTGCTTCCAGGGGGTCTGGCACACAATAGGAAATTAACAATTGTTAGTTGAATGGAAGGTGGACAGGTGGATGAAGCAATACTCATAAATATCTTAGAGCACTTTACACCGTACACATTTACATGTAATATCCTATAAAGAGTGTAAAACTGTGAATTTGATACTGTTAAGTGTTCTCTTTCTGAAATGTGGTTATCTTTCTCAATTTCAGCAACTTGCCCAGAGGCACAGAGCTAGTAAGTAGTAGTACCTTTCAGCTTCAGAAATGGTCCACAACACTACATTACCCTCTTGCTTTATCTTCTCTTCATTTCCAAGGTAGCTGTTGAGGACGGACTTGATTATGGCTGTTAGAATATGAATGAGGTGTTGTCCCACTCTGGTTTCCTGTTGTGACATCCAAGACTTCTTAAAATGTTTGTGTCACAGGAACCTTTACTCAAACTGTGATAAAGGAAATCTTGACAAACACCATGTAAGAATGTGCAGATTCTACTCCTGTCCACACACAGATTAGCTAGTCCTAGGCTTATTCTCTCATTCACAAGCTGATAAAGCAGAACAAGTGATGACTCAATTCACTCCTAACCTTAATTTTCTGAGCCTGTAAACACTCATCCATCAGATTTCTGAATTGCAAGACAGAAGTCAGACTTCCAGTTCCACCCATTCACTCGCACTGATCCTCTGGGCCAGGTACACGGAGAACTGCAGGAAGGGAGTGATTTCAGTATTAAGAAAAAAGCACCATGAAGTGCTACCCAGTATATGTAAGCAGAGGAAGCCCCGACTACACATTCTTCTGCTTTGCCCAGAAATGCAAACTCAGAAGAACTCCGTGAACAGGCAATCAAAGGCACACAACCAGAGTTGACGCCCAGCCCAATTTTGAAAATAGCAAGCTTCCTTCAAGGGTCAAGCAAACATTAATAGCTCCATTCTAGCCCACCAAAGAATCTTAAGGCTAAATATTTTAAATGCGTTTCTCTTTAACACAGAGCCATTTCTAACAGGTACGGCTGGCTGCCCTGGGGATTCGCACCACCCTCAGCTCAGGTGAAACCCCGCCCCCCTTCTCCATATTCGTCGCACTATATGGTTTTGTGTGTGTGTGTGTGTTTTTTTATACTGGGAAAAGCTCAGAAAATGATATGTGCACACTCTAAGCACGTGCAACTGTGCAGCATCGCATCACACTGTCACACTGAAACACGGAGCGTGAACGCAAGGCAGTTCTTAAAATTATTAGACACTATGCTTAACCCCCACTGCTGATGAAAGGAGATATATATCAAAGTCTGTTTTTCTAACCTTATGCGGAGAATTTAAGTGAGCGGTTTCCGCCCCACGGCGAGGTCAGTTGACACCTATCAACCCGCAGCAGAGAGCAACCAGGGAAGCCGGGACCTCAGTTTTATTGCTAGAGGGACAGCAACTAGTATTAACTGCGGCACTTTGGGTCCTCACAGTGCGGGACCCCTTCCTTTGCCAGGACCTCTCAACTCTGCAGAGGAACCCTGTGAGCGGGGTCCCGTGCTAAGGTTATTGCCCAATTTTACAGAAGGCTGCGCGCGATTTTAAAGCCTTACCTTAACTAACAGGAGGCGAGTGGGGGTGGGGAGAACCACCAAGCCAGGGGAATAGTAAAGAGACAAAGATCACCCCAAAGCATACGCGCGCGCGCAATGAAGCCGAGACTGCAACGCACATTCCATCAGCCTTTCACTGTTGTCTGCTTCCTGTGGGGGTTATTCCCCACCCCAGCTCTCTGCAGAAAGTTTAAGGCTGTTCACACCGACTTTCAAAGGTCCATTGTTCCCTTCCCCATAAAATGTAATGAAAAGAAAGAAATCAAGACGGGGTTCCCAAGGACTCTTTCTTATGTAGAGGATTTACTCCGGGGGAGTCCGGTTACTCCTAATCCAGAGAGGAGAGAGACTGGGAAAGGAGGAGCGCAGGAGGCGAGGGAGCCGGAGGTGCCGCAGGGGGCGGGAGGATGTTTTCCATTTCAGTAGAAACGTCCAACACCAGAGCGGGCCAGGCGCCGGGAGCCGGGAAGGTGCCCGAGACCAGTGTCCCAGGCTGCGCCCCGCGCCCTGTAGCGGCCCCTTCGAGCACGAGGGAGGTGGGGCGGGGAGCGAACGACCCCTTGCTGCTTACCTTCCCCTCCCCCGCTTAGCGTCGGTTAACTCAGGTGCCTACACAGAGATCCAAAGAGACAGAGCCGAGCTCCTGGCGTCCCCGGGTCCGAATCCCCTCTCCATGGCCAGGGAGCCCCCAGAGCCTCTACGCTGGCCGCCGCTGCTGCTTTTACGCAACTGGCAGCCGCTGCCTCTGCCTGGAGGTGAAATCCTCTCCTCCCGGGAGTGACGCGCACTTCCCTCCGCCTCCGCCTCCGCCTCCTCCAGCCCGGAGCCTCCGGGGCAGGGGCCTCGGCTCTCTCAATCCCGGAGCTGCGGCTGGGCTTTCTCCGCTCCTCTCCCTCCGGGAGGAAGAAGAGGAGAATTGCGGCCGCTGTGGTGCAGGCCCGAGCGTCCCCGCGATAGTGGGGGAAGGAAGAGGCAGCGCCGGGCAAAGCGTGGTCCCAGGGGTCGCGCTAGACTCTAATCGGCGAGCGCCGCGGCTCGCTGAGGTCGCACTCAGCCTCTGCCGGCCGGAGAAGCGGCCCGGCTCTGCTGGGCCAAGAGCTACGGAGTGGGCGGGCGGGCGGGAGGGAAGCCGAGGGAGAGGAGGAGCCTGCGGCCGGAGAAGGCGGTGGCAGCGCAGGGCTCCGCCCGCTGCCCCGTTCGGAGCGAGCTTGGGACGCGGGCGCCCAGCGCCGCTCGCTGCAGCGCCCAGGAACAGCGCCAGAGCGCACAGCCGGCGGTGCAGGACTCCCAATCAGCGCTCCCGGCTGCAGCTGCAGGGCCCCTACCTGCGCCTGGCTGGGCATGAGCCTAAGCCTCCAGCAACCCCGGTTGAGCCTAGCCCTGCGCCCCCATCAGGCCAAGCTGAGCCTGACCCTCCGTCCGCATCATCCCAGGCTGAGCCTGACCCTCCGTTGGCATCAACCCAGGCTGAGCCTGACCCTCTGCCCGTATCACTCCAGGCTGAGCTTGACCCTCGGTCCTCATCAGCCCAGGTGAGCCTGACCCTCCGTCCTCATCAATCCAGGTGAGCCTGACACTGCGCCCCCATCACCCCAGGCTGAGCCTGACCCTCCGTCCTCATCAATCCA